GATCAAGGCCAGCATGTTCTGCACAACAACAGGATAGTCAAGGCTACACGAAGAAACCCTGACTCAAGGGAAAAAAATTAGTGCCACCTTTTCTGGCTTTTCACATGCTAGGGAATCGAACTCTATTTCTCATACTTGCATGATAAACATTTTACTGAGTGAGCTATATCTCCAGTACCCGCGGTTAATTTTGATATGCACCAGAGGCATTAATTTAACAACAACCCTGAAAGACAGCCTCAGTTTGTGGTGGTGGTCCTCTCCTTTAATCCCAGCACTCAGGAAGCAGGGGCAGGAGGATCTCTGGGTTTGAGGCCAGCCTGGTCTACAGAACAAGTTACAGGAAAAAAAAAAAAAAAGTTACCAATTACAAAGCCTCCACCTTTTTCTCTGGGTCTGCCACTAGAGGGAGCACCTGGTCCACTGACAGACATTTACAAATCCGTAGGGTCCTTACCCAAGATGACAAACTTCTGCAGATTCAGGCTGCCACAGTGCAGAGAATTCACACACAGCACAAAAGGATGCTCAGCCTCCCAGAGAGCTAGGAAATAGAAGAGGATACAGTGTTACTTGTCCCGGATTGCTTCATACTTTAAAGACTGCTAAGATCCAGACCCATTTCTCTGATACCAGCTGTTCCCTCTGCCATTAAAGTCTTCCTCTAGCCTGGTGGTGGTGGCACACACCTTTAATCCCAGCACTTGGGAGGCAGAGTCAAGTGAATCCCTGAATTTGAGCCCAGAAACAGGAAAAAAAACAAAAACAAAAACAAAAAAAAAACAAAAAAAAAACAACCTCTCTCTGTGTGCTTTTTGTTGTTGGTTTGGGTTTAGTTTTCTGAGACAGGGTTCCTCTATGCACCACTCTGGCTGTACTGGAACTCACTCTGTAGACCAGGCTGGCCTTGAAATCACAGAGATTTGTACAGGATATCAATAAAGTAATCCCACACTAGCTCAGAATGGAGTATACTAAAGGGTTCTTTATTTATGGGTAGACTAATAGATCAACAGTCCTCTGCATGAGCGGGGAACAGGAACAGAAAGAATCTGGCAGCCAAGAGAAGGTGTGCTGTTTCTACATGTTTTTATATTACCCAAGACCGCACCCAAAGTGGTTCAGCATCTCAAAGGTCATTGGCTGAATGAGTTCCCACAGTGAGATCCACCTGCCTCTGCCTCCCAAGTGATGGGATTCAAAGTGTGAGCCACCACCACCTGGCTCAATTTGGTTTTTTTTGAGACAGAGTCTCATGTAGCCCAGGCTGTAGACTAGACTGCAGGCAGGCCATCTACCACTGACCACCCTCCAGCCCCTCACTGGCAGAATCTACGCAGGTGCTCTACTAATGAGTCACACCAAGACCATATCTTTTCACTTTGGATGATCCTTTGAACATGACATTTTTTCTTTTGCTATGTTTTTGGGTGTCATGTGTAAGAAACCAATGTCTGATCAAATGTCATGAGAGTTGCCCAGTATTCGTGTTTTGTTTGCCTATTGGTAATATTAGGGTCAAACCTAGAGCCTTGTGCAAGCTAGATGTGATAGCTAACCAGGTCAACTTCATGCCTGTAACTCATCTTCATACCAGCAGAGAACCTTGAGACAAAAATGTGCAAAATAAGGGGGCTGGGCTGTGACCACTCTAGAGGCGATGAGATCTGGGAGAATGGACCCGATAAATGAGGCAGACTGAAGTCTCATGCAATAGCCAACTTTATTCAGAGCCTCAGACAGTTCATGCCGGTGCTTCTCAACCTTCCTAATGCTCCAACCCTTTAATACAGCTCATGTTATGGTGACCCCTGTCCATGAAATTATTTTTGTTGCTACTTCATAACTGTAATTTTGCTAGTGTTATGAATTATAATGTGTTTTCTGATGGTCTTAGGTGACCCCTGTGAAAGGGTCATTAGGCAACCTCACTATCTCCAAGGGGTCGCGATCCATAGGTTGAAAACCACTGGTTTATACTCTAAGTGTTAAGAAAGGTCACTTGAGTAAAGTTCTCATGAGTTCAGCCTGTATACAACGACAAGGACACACCACACATGGCAAAAACACATTTTTCCGTAGAGGCATAGAAAAGATAGTCTAAACATTTGCTTGAAGAACACCAGCAAGCAATAAGGAGCAATCGGAAGTAAACTTCCTATCTGCTGCACCTGGAGGAGCACGAAAACATATTCCAAGAAAAATTCCATGTTTTGAAGAAACCGAGGTCACAAGACTCTTATTTTCTTGGAGTGTTCTCAGAATTCTCCTCATGCACCAATACATTCTTGGACTGTATTCTGCCACTGGACAGACAAGTGGCTTGGACCTGAGTTCAGCTCCCAGCACCCATGTGGCGGTTCACAACCATCCCTAACTCCAGTTCCAGGGGATCTGACATTTCTAAACTCCTGGGGAGGGGGGATGCGTGCAGCATACATACATTCACACAAAGCACCCACATGCATAAGAAATTCTGAAAAGGAACTGGTGAAGGAGAGAGTTCCTAGCAACCAGGGCCAGAGCTACTGCAGAAGCCCAGGTCTTCTCCCCGCTGCCCTCTAGCAGAGCTACAGTCTTACAGAGACAATGAGACTAGGAAGCATACTCAGGCAGGATTAGCTGCGGCACAGCTTGTCAGTGCTGTGGAATCTGCCTGGGAGACGAGTGAGTTCTTGCTCCTCTGAGGTCAAATTCAGCCTGTTCTCACCCAGCAATGGGATTCCTGGAGCTAGTTTCATTGCTGTCACAAGTGGACTGAGCCACCTCTGGGCTCATTAAGAGTGAGGGAAGAAGACATGACCTAATGAGGGCAGTAGCATCCCACAGGCCAGAGGATGGATGAAAGGAATGAGGCCAGAGTGCCAGCACACACCTCCAACCTCAGCATTCAGGAAGTAGAGGTGGGTGATCTCTGTGAGTTCAAGGCCAGCCATGGCTACATAGTAAAATCCTCTCTCTCAAAAACCTTGACAGAAGTGTGTGAGGGTGAGGAAGGTGTAGCTCTGGTTGTCATGATTTTGGCTTCTTTACCCTGTAATACCCTCATCATGATGGATTGAAACCTCAGAAACCATGGGCTAAAATAAACACTCTTCTCCACCTTTCTGTTTTGGTTTGGTTTTCAAAAAAAAAAAAAAAAAAAAAAAAGACAGGGTTTCTCTGTGTAGCCCTGGCTGCTGTCCTAGAACTCACTCTGCAGACCAGACTGGTCTCAAACTCAGAGATCCACCTGCCTCTGCCTTCCCAAGGGCTGGGATTAAAGGTGTGCACCTCTGTGGTGAAAATATTTTTCTCAAATATTTATTTACCATGTAAATATTTGCCCATGGCTCCTCCCAGCACTTCTGACCCCGCCCACTACCCTAACCCTTTCCAACTCAAAGGCTGGGTTTTGCTTTCTTTTCTTTCCTTCAAATTCCTTATACAACTCCGTCATTTTGGCTACCTGCCCCTTTGGCTCTGCTCTTGGTTCACACAATCTCTTGGCCCTTGATACATGGTTCCTCTCTTGGTCTATTTACCCTTTATAAAAGGGACTCCAGCCAGCCTGATCATGGCAAATATGGCTCTGGCGGCCTTGCCCTTCTTCCCCATTAGATTACACTCCTAAAGCAAGCCACCAAGATCTATACTCTTATTTGGAAACTTCCTCCTGAGGCTGACTACCAAGGTCCAGCTGTGGAAGCAATCGAAAGCCTTTTGGCTCACCTAATTAACATGCCCAATTAAAGCCAAACACCTCATCCTAATACGGGGTTCCCCCTTTACCTTTATAAACTGTCGCTTGACTATGGGCCACGTCTGTCTCTTCTCTATCCAAAGGCCGTCCTTTGTTCCTCTCCCTTGTTCCCTTCCCCTTCTCCCTCATCCTCTATCTCCTGTTTTTGTCTGTTATTCCCTTGGTCTTGCGGTGTGTTGTGTCACCTATCAGTCCCTGCACCTTCTCTCTTCTTTCCCTCTCTCGCTTCTACCCCCCACCCCGGAATGTTCAGTCTGGACGCTTTCAAATACCTCTGCTGTTCTCTCCCGCATATCTACCATAAAACCTCCTCTACCATACCTAGGAGCCACCATGTCCTCATTTTCAGCACCCTGTTCCCCTGAACAGAGGAGCATATGGAAGCCAGGTTCAATTTCCAGTTCTCCTCGCTACGCATCGGACTGACCAAAAATCGTATTCCTAGACTAGACGCACCTGGCTAGGGGCCAGTCACAAAGCCACACCCTGAAGACCATGGGGCTTCCCTGGCACCCCAAAGAATCCAGGAATTTACGAGCCACCAAAGAAACTAGAAGTGGCAAAAGTCACAAGCCATACACTAGAGGAGCGGGAAGTGTAGGCCTTCAGAGTCATTCAACCTGATTTTCAGGACTTCCTACCACATAACACGGGTCACAGCACAAAATGGCGCCGCATAGACAAATACAGACGGATTTCCGCCTCTCCACGGCAGCCAGGCCAAGAGGCCAGCCTACGCGTGCTCATTTGCATACACAAAGAAACGGAGGAACTTCATTGGCTAGAGCTGACGTCCATCACGCTAAACTGGCTTCCCATTAGTAGTAGCTTTCCAGTCCTACCCGCCCCACAAACCCAGATCACGACCGCCACTCTTCATTGGTCAGTGACCCTTCCGTCAATTGTTTAAAATCCCCCTAAGTCCCGCCTTCCCTCGCCCCGCCCCGGCCGCAGGCCGACCGTTAGTCGCGTGCGCGACTTCCTCGGGGCGGGAGCGCGCGCGCGTGTACGCCGGGCCGCACGGGCGTCTCATTTAAACGGCCCAATCAGCGGCCGCGTCGCCTGCGGGGGCGCCCCCGTACTCTCCGCTCTGGCTTTGCAGCCTCTCGGTTCCCCGGTGCCCTCCTCAGCCGACGTGCGCCCTGATTGGAGGGACTGCGCCAGAAACTCGGCTGGAACTTCGGCCCCGTTCGGGGGACAGCGGAGAAGAGCGCGTCGACTGCCAATCAACGTGCGCGTTGACGTCCGCGATCGGAGCGCGCCGCGGGGGGGGGGCGGGGCCTGCAAGCGCCTATAAAAGTGCGATGTTGCGCGCGCGGCCGGCTTAGTGCGGCCGGGCAGGCGTGACGTTGTGAGCGTTTTCGTAGCGGTTGTCGTAGTTAGCGTGTAGCGGAGCGGGGCCTCGGGGGGCCTCGCTAGGGCCACAGCGGCCGGCAGTTGGGCCCCCCGCCCCGGCCGGCGGTCCAAGGAGTGCAGGAAGGGGGCCGGGGGGACCCGCCCCCGGACTGCCGAAGTCATGGTGAGCGACGCGGGCGGCCTGAGGGGCGGTTGGGGACTTTGGCAGAGAAGGCGGCTGGGTCCGAAGTGTTCCTTGCCAGCTTCTGGGTGCTTTGATCGCTCCCCTGGACGTCCGGAGCCAAGAGTCGGCCCTCGGACCGTTCTGCCTGGTGTTGCAGGGGCCCAGGCGGGCCTCGGCGCCTTGGGGAGCGCTTTGGGCCCCTTGCGGCCCGCCCGTGGATGTGCTCAGGAGCAAGACATTCGACGCCATTTCGCCCAGGGCTTTTTTGTTTTTTTTCGGGGGGCGGGGGAGCTCAAGGCTAAGTAGGTAAAAGGCACAGTCTAGGCCTCAAGCCCACCCTGGAACTAACTGCTAGTGGACCCATGCGCGTCTTAACGAACGGTCTTTGGGAGGTTTTTGAGTACGAGAAGCCTCCTGCAAACCCTTTCTGAGACAACCTCGCATATCTATGGGCCGGCCAGTCTTGGCGCAACGGCCAGAAGCATCCCGGGTGAGGGTGTAGTTGGCTGGCAAGGATTGACAGTCCGGAACTAGCAAGGTCACGATTCTGTTGTCCTCTGAATTTTTAATCCCAGATATTTCGGGCTGCTCATTCTTTTTTTCCATCTTTGCCCAGAACTCGAACGTCGAGAATCTGCCTCCGCACATCATCCGCCTAGTGTACAAGGAGGTGACAACACTGACGGCCGACCCACCTGATGGCATTAAAGTCTTCCCCAATGAGGAGGATCTCACGGACCTGCAGGTTACCATCGAGGGCCCTGGTGAGTATGGGCACAGGCACGAAAGGGAGGGGCCGCTGTTTTTCTCTGACTGTGGAACAGACAGGATTCAAGGCAGTCTCTCAACAGTGTGGGTAGGTCGGGCACAGCGTTGTGCCTGTGACTATTCTTATCTAAGACCCCACAAATGCAATAATATGTCAAGAAGCTCCTGGTCACTGAGCATGTAATAGAGTTCTTGCCTAGGCTTGGCCTATGGCTGTCAAGTGTAAACTTTCCAGTGACGTGGGGATGGGTAGAAATTAAATAGGAAATGCACCAGCTAGTCAGAAACCCTGCTCAGCTGTCAAAGTGTTGGACTCTGAAAGAATTACAGGGCAAAGAAGACTCAGCATTGCCAGGGACCGAGTGAGTAGTAATAAATGACTGTATTAAGTATGGGAAAATTTAGGTTTGTCATCTGAATTTCTACAAAGTCAGGATGTTTCAAGTTATATAAAATGTCTGGTCTATAGTGTTGAAGGTGTGGAGAGCATCTCCCTGGGCTACTACTGTTAGCTAGTTTAGTAAGTGCATAGAACATCTGTGATTATCATTTTCAACCCAAGCAAGTAGGTAAATGAAAACATGTCTCATGAGGATCGGGAAAGGCCTGAAAAATGGTTTGCAAGAAAAGTGGGTGGGTTGGATCCCTTTGTCTTGAAGAGTTAGTATGTGCCTGAGACACGTGGATATCCAGGAGTGTGGGCTGTAGTGCAAGGTATATAATATAGTCAAGGTATAAAGGTTCATATAGTACCTGGGAAACTTCTTTGTTGCCCTGAATTCCCCCAGCCTCAGAAGCGATTGACAGGCTATCTCCCTTAGCCAGACCCAAGGTTGAGATGTTGAAGGATGCTAGAATAACATCCTAATCTAGTTCCTTTCCTCTTCCAGAGGGCACCCCCTATGCTGGAGGTCTGTTCCGTATGAAGCTCCTACTGGGCAAGGATTTCCCTGCCTCTCCACCCAAGGGCTACTTCCTGACCAAGATCTTCCACCCAAATGTGGGGGCCAATGGTGAGATCTGTGTCAATGTGCTCAAGAGGGACTGGACGGCTGAGTTGGGTATCCGACATGTGTTGCTGGTGAGTTTCAGCCTAGTGCTTTGTTGGGATTCTAAAAATCAACTGTGGAGTAGTAGGGGAAGGAGTCCAGTGAAAATCAAGTTCCCAGCTGTTGTAAAAAATAATGCAAGGGTTACCTGCCGTATGGCATCACGTAGTGTTCTGCTGTATCAAGGGGTTGTACTTCACCGTGACATTGAACAATTGGGTTTGTATGATGGGGTAGTTTCATGGAAGGAGGAGAGCAGTGTGTGGATGAGAGGCTATGATATTTATGTGCCATAATTTTCCCCTATTTGTTCGCTTGCTGGCCCAAGCTGCCCTTGGACTTGTGATCATCCTGCCATGGTTATTACATATTTTGACCCTAGGAGATGTGGTTATAAAAACAAACTCCCCTAGAAGCTAAGTTTGCAAGATTGTGCCACCCAACTCAGTAGTGTGGGTGTTGTGGTGATTTTTGAGAGTGGGGGGATTGTTTTTTTCCAGGGTGTTTAACAGTGACAGTGCAACAATCACCACTGTCCATAATTAAAAATTATTTTCCTGTACTAGTGATTTTTTTCTTTTTCTAGCTGTGGTCATTACACTGCCTGCGACATTTTGTAATGTCAGGAGATATGCTTGGTTGTCAGTACTGCTGCTGGCATGTTGTGGGTGGAGGCAGGGGACACGTTAGGCATCTGCTTTACCACAGTTCTCCTGAGTCAGTTGAGGTGGAGCTACCTGGTCTAGGCCAGTGCTCTAAGGTCTCTAGGGGCCACTTAAAGTAGTTCACCTGGTGCTTCCTTTGCCCCTCCCATAATAGACTTAGGGGTTTTTATTATTATTATTATTTCTAATGAGCCTCTAGGGCTGATGGTAGTGAAGATAGAGAATTGGGGTTTCCTTCAGGGCACCTGGAAAGGATTAAGTTCCAAGGTAAACAACCCCAAAACCTTTACTACTAATACAATTTTTCGTTTTTTTTTGTTTTTTTTGTTTTTGTTTTATTTTTTTTTTTTTTTTTTTGAGACAGGGTTTCTCTGTGGCTTTGGAGCCTGTCCTGGAACTAGCTCTGTAGACCAGGCTGGCCTCGAACTCACAGAGATCCGCCTCCCTCTGCCTCCCGAGTGCTGGGGTTAAAGGCGTACGCCACCGTCGCCCGGCCAGCTTTTCGTTTTTCGAGACGGTTTCTCTGTGTAACAGCCCTGGCTATCCTATAGACCAGACTGGCCTTGAACTCAAGGAGACCCACCTGCCTCTGCCAAATTCTGGGATTAAAGCCGTGTGCTGCTGCTACCTGGCTATATAAAATTCTTAAGTACTGTGGTCAGTCTAGTGTTTTTCCCTCTCTGACGTAATCTATTCCTATGGCTTTGAATTTGGCAACTTGGAGTTCTGGTAAAGCCACTGGCTGACCACTTTAGGTTTCTGTACCCTACATAGTAAGTAGTATGTAAGATATAGGAAAACCAAATATGAGTTCTCCTAAGTGCCTTGGTCCCCTGATTACTACCTCTGAATTCATACTCGCCTGTAGAGGCAATGCCAAGGCTACATTAGCTACAAAATGGCTGGGACTGATAATGGGCTTCTTGAGGGACAGGCCTCTGGCCACATCAGGCAGCACTTGCCAATGCTTGAAGTGTTTGTTAGTAATAGGAAAGCAGCCTTTGATGGTGACATACATAAGTAAGAATGCTAATAGACGGGTTCTGGTCTCGGAGATGATTCGGTATTGAAAGTAAGAGCCGATGTGGAGGCCATGAATCTGGACAAGTTCCCTGACTCTAGACCCTTTTCCCACAGACCATCAAGTGCCTGCTGATCCACCCTAACCCAGAGTCTGCACTCAACGAGGAGGCTGGCCGCCTGCTCTTGGAGAACTATGAAGAGTATGCTGCTCGGGCTCGACTGCTCACAGAGATCCATGGGGGTGCAGGTGGCACCAGCAGTGGGAGGGCTGAGGCTACCCGGGGCGTGGGAAGTGGGGCTACAGCCTCCACTGACCCTATGGCCCTAGGAGTCCTGGGAGGAGCTGAGGGTCCCATGGCCAAGAAACACGCAGGCGAGCGAGATAAGAAGTTGGCAGCCAAGAAAAAGTTGGATAAGAAACGGGCACTAAGGCGACTGTAGTGGGCTCTTCTCCTTTCTTCTTTCTGTTCTATCCCCTCCCACTCTGTCTCTAAGTTATTTAAATTATGGCTGGGGTGGGGGAGGGAATGGGGGGGCACCAGAACCTGGATTTGGTTTTCTAAATAAAAATTGGAAAAGAGTTTCTGTGCCTGAAGATGTCTAGCCCTCTGCCTATATTGTGGCAGAGAGCAGCTCTCGTTCTTATTTTGACGCCAGTCATGCAAAGCCACCAAAGCTGTAGCCCCAAATTAAAATTGGAATTACTTTTACCCTGTGGAATGGATTTAGATCTAAACTGGAGCAAGAATCCATCTGTTCCCTCGACAACAGTGGTTATCAACCTTCCTAATGCTACAACCCTTGCCCAACCATAAAATTTTTTTCATTACTGCATCATAACTAACTTTATTACTGTTACAAATCGCAATGTAAATAGTTTTGAAAATAAAGGTGAGTTGTGACCCACTGGTTGAGAATCACTGCTCTAGACAGTCCATCTGGTCCTGAATTGGGGCAGAGTTTATTTCCTGAATCAAATCCCTGCTCTGAGCTTTTTTCCTTTCTGTGTATTAAGGTGAATTTTTGCTTAGCTGTCAAAAACAGGACATGCCTTAAAGACATGTTTAAGTTTACTCTCCTTAGGGTTTCACAGGCCAAAAAGAAGTGTTTGCTGGCCATGTTCCTTCTCAGGAGCTTAGCTAGTTGCAGTGTTAGATTTATTTTGCTTTTGGTTTTCCCTTACTGTGTATTTCTAACTGGCCTAGAACTTGGCTACGTAGAAAAGGTTGGCTTTGACCTCATAGGGACCCATCTGGCTCTCTGCCTTAGGAATGCTGGGAGTCACTTTGCCCACTTAATTGAAATTCTTGTGGTAGCACTTAGGGTTCTTTTAGGGGCTGCTCCACCACATGGCCTATCAGGACTAAGGCTCTTGGCTCAGATGAGGTGGAAATTCCAGATAGTGAGGCTGGGTAAGAAGCTCAGAAATTAAGAGAGGTTGCTCTTGCGGATTCACAGTCATGTACTGTGTACAGCTACAACTTTAGTTCCAGGGACTCCAGCCACCTCTTCTGATCACAGTCAGGAAGACATACATGAACATCAAATCTTTTTTTTTTTTTTGGTTTTTTTTTTTTGGGTTTTTCGAGACAGGGTTTCTCTGTGGCTTTAGAGCCTGTCCTGGAACTAGGTCTGTAGACCAGGCTGGTCTCAAACTCACAGAGATCCACCTGCCTCCCGAGTGCTGGGATTAAAGGCATGCGCCACCACCACCCGGCATAAACATCAAATCTTTAAAAAAAAACTGTAATTTCAAATCTAGGGCCACTGACAGGAGTGATACTTGTCCAGAGTCTCAGGTTCTGTTGTAACCTAAGTGGAAATGTCTGGGTTTGTGCACCAGAAAGCAGTATATGCTTTCTGTTAATTTGCTTTTATATTATTTTTTAATAGTTTTTTTAAAATATTTATTTATTTAGTATACAGTATTCTGTCTGTATGCCTGCAGGCCAGAAGAGGGCGCCAGACCTCATCACACATGGTTGTGAGCCACCATGTGGTCGCTGGGAATTGAACTCAGGACCTTTGGAAGAGCAGGCAATGCTCTTAACCACTGAGCCATCTCTCCAATCCGCTTTTATATTATTTGAGCCAGTTTCATTAAAGGATGGAAAAGGCTGAAGCAGTAGCTCAGATGTTTAGACTATGTAGTATTCTTTCAAAAGAGTTAGGTTCCTAGTTACAACTGCCTAAAACTTCAGCTCCAGAAGATTTGACACTAAGAGCTTCAAAAATGGCGGCGGGGGGGGGGGGGGTGTCTCTATGGGGAGGTTGTAGAGATGACTCAGTGGTTAAGAGCACTAGCTACTCTTCCAGAGGTCCTGAGTTCAGTTCCCAGCAACCACATGGAGGCTCATGATCTCTAGTGGCATCTGATGCTCTCTTCTGACAAAGTACATGTAGATAGAGCACTTGCATTCTTAAATAAATGATAAAAATTAAAGGGGAGGGTGGAGAGACGGCTCATGGGTAAAGACTATGAAACCTGAAGACCTACCCAACTGAACCCACATGTTTGGAGGAGAGACCAATGTACACAGATTGTGCTCCAACCACATGCATGCCATATTGTATACACATACTTAAAATTGTTTCAGGGGAAGGAATACATTATATTGTGGAGAGGGTAGTTAATATCCAGGTCAAAACTAAATGCTGGGTATGGTAGTATAAGCCTGTATTCCCAACTCTCAGGAGGATGAGGCAGGAGAATGTGAGGGCAGCCTGGATTCCATATAAGACCCTGTCTCCAAAAGAATCAAAAATCTGACTCTTAAGCAGGAAACTTGCTTTTACCTTCTAGTTTTACTGTCTGAGGTCTTGTCTGCATTGTAAGGGAAACAGTGAAAACCAAGAGTTTCAACTTGGAAAAAGAACCTAAGTAAGTTTCCTACTGAGATCGCACTGAGTCTCCTTACCACAGTAATGACCCTGGGGAGAAGACCACCAGAACTAAGTCTACACCTTCTAGAGGTACACCCTGTTCAGGACATCAGTAACAGCATGTCAAAGGAAAACATATATACAATCTGAATTAATATAACTGATCCAAGAAATTTCAAGACTCATTTAGTGTAAAGTGTCTACATAAGCAAAGCGGGCCTCCTGAAAGTAAACATTCAGTTTAATAAAGATAAAACTGTTGCTGTGATGGATAAAAATGTAACCTCTCCCAATCCATTGGAATTTCAGGCCTCCTTTTTGGGAGTATAGGTCTTTATGTAGGATATCACTTGTAGCCCTGGCTGGCATCCAACTTGGTAAGTCTCCTGTCTTGGCATTCATAAATACTGGAATCCATTTGCGTTTTCCCAGCCAGTTGTGTTTATTATATATAATAAGGCAGTAAAAAAATTTCTTTATTGAGTTCTGTGAGCTAAGACAACAAATCACTGAACTTCAGGACTGTTCTCTGAAGTCAGATGGTCTTGTGGACTTAAGTCCTTAACTTAAGGCCTGTGCTAACTGGATAGTATCAGAATTGAATTATAAGATACCAATTGATACTGAAAATCAGAAAATTGGGCATTAAGTGGAAGGAAAATAAATATATTAGCTGTCAAAATGTTGGTAAGTGTGTGTGTGTGTGTGTGTGTGTGTGTGTGTGTAGAACAATGTGAGTCTGTGTTCAATCCTTAGTACCTGGGTGGAAGAGGTCAGTAGGAATACGTGTAAAATTACATCCTGTGCAAAAATGAACTGAAACTGACCAGTGAAACTAGTAGTCTAGAATAATCAGTAGCTACTTTAAGCCTCTTGTATCCCAAGTTGTGAGCCTTCAACTTTCGATATTGAAAAGGTTGGCCTTGAACTTTTGATAGTCTTAATCTTCTCAGTGCTGGAATTAGAGGAGTGTGCCCCTGCGACCAGCTCATGGTTGTGCGGGAACCTGAGGTTGTACACAGGCTAGGCAGGTACTCTACCATCTTAGCTCCAGCTCCAGCCCAACTTGCTCATCCTATCTCTGGTGAAGGTCAAGGACCATGCTGCAGCTGGGCCTATAGTAGCACAGACTTGTGCTCCCAGCTGCAACGGAGGCAGTTGGAGGACTTCTGGGCTACAGTGTGAGTTCTAGGCCAGCTCGAGTGACTTAATGAGGCTGTCTTAGAAAGAAAGAAAGAAAAAGAAAGAAAGAAAGAAAGAAAGCCAGAAGCTGGCACAGTACATTAGCACAACAAGGAGCACAAGGAAGCCTGAGTTCAACCCCTACCAGGGCTGGCAAGGTGGCTTAGTGGGTAAAGAAGACAAATTGTTGCCCATCTGGACAGCCTGAATATGAGCCAGTTTGACCCTGTTAATCCCAGATAACCAACTCCCACAAGTTGTTCTCTGACCTCTACATATATATAAACAATGCAATAAAAGAGGTGAGTACAGAGTGTGGTTGTCACACACCTCTAATCCCTCACAGACGTTGGCAGAGGCAGTTTGGTCTCTGAGTTTCAGGCCAGCCTGATCTACATAGTGAGTTCCAGGACAACCAGGCATGCATAATAAAAAAAGACCCTATCTCAAAAAACTCACCACTGTTCCCTGGAGAAGAGGCCTCTAGGCTCCTTAGGCCACATGACCAACAACCTTATAGTCCTATTTACCGCTCCACTTAACTTTTTTTTAAAAATATTTATTTATTTATTATGTATACAATATTCTGTCTGTGTGTATGTCTGCAGGCCAGAAGAGGGCACTAGACCTCATTACAGATGGTTGTGAGCCACCATGTGGTTGCTGGGAATTGAACTCAGGACCTTTGGAAGAGCAGGCAGTGCTCTTAACCGCTGAGCCATCTCTCCAGCCCCCTCCACTTAACTTTTTATTTATTTATTTGTTTGTTTGTTTTTTGGTTTTTTGATACAGGGTTTCTCTGTGGTTTTGGAGCCTGTCCTGGAACTAGCTCTTGTAGACCAGGCTGGTCTCGAACTCACAGAGATCCACCTGCCTCTGCCTCCCAAGTGCTGGGATTAAAGGCGTGCGCCACCACCGCCCAGCTTTTTTTGGTTTTTTTAAGACAGGGTCTCTCTGTGTAGCTTTGATGCCTGCCCTGGAACTCACTCTATAGATCAGGCTGGCCTCAAACTCAGAGTTTCGCCTACCTCTGCCTCCTGAGTGCTGGAATTAAAGGTGTGTGCTACTCCCACCCAGCTTTTTTTGTAATTATTTAGTATTGATCCTTTGCATTGGTTTATTGGTAAAAATTTAAGGTTAGCCGGGCGATGGTGGCGCACACCTTTAATCCTAGCACTCGGGAGGCAGAGGCAGGTGGATCTCTGTGAGTTCGAGGCCAGCCTGGTCTACAGAGCTAGTTCCAGGACAGGCTCCAAAGCCGCAGAGAAACCCTGTCTCGAAAAACCAAAAAAAAAAAAAAAATTAAGGTTAATTTTGATATATATGCATATATATATTTCTGCTCTTGATTAAAGTATTGTGTTTGTGCAGCTCATTTAAAAATGTAATGTATAATTAAAAAATACAGGTTAAGGGGCTGGAGAGATGGCTCAGAGGTTAAGAGCACTGACTGTTCTTCCAGAGGTTCTGAGTTCAATTTCCAGCAACCACGTGGTGGCTTACAACCATCTGTAATAAGATCTGGTGTCCTCTTCTGGCCTGTAGGGACACATGCAAACAGAATGCTGTATACATTACATAGTTAATAAATAATTTTTTTTAAAATACAGGTTAATAAATAGTCATCTATAATAGTCAAGCTTGTAGTCATTGTAGTTAGGTTTTCTAGATGTACAAAGATATATTTCAGATGGCTAGGTATTCTTCAAACATTTCAAAGACTTACAGAATACAGTATTTAAAATGTTTTAAGAATGTAGGACTTTTCATGACAATGAGACACATCTGCTTCTGGCAGCACCAATCAACTTCCAGGGGATGATGGGTATTGAAGAGGCTCC